GGATCGCAATTGACGGAGCTGACGGTCTGAGGCCATTTGAGGCCAACTGGTGTAGATGGCAGCACAGACTGGATCATAGGTGGCGCTGTACAAAGTTTCAGGGCTTTAATGGAGATCGGTGCCCACATTTACCATGCGGTCCCGGAGGACGCAGATCTCATTCGGATTGCAAAATCAGCCAGGCTGTCCTGACCGTTGTCGGCATCCGGAGTCCTGTACATACCATGGTCTCAACGCATTAACCGCGTAAATCCTGATGGTGCTCGGAAGGGTCCGATTCCGAACAGTGGCAGCAGGAGAACGATGATATATTCAGCCAATGCCGAATTCACAACAGATTCTGAGGTTGATCAAGTTGATCTGTTCTAAGGTTGATCAAGTTGAAGGCAAAGGGGGCTTATAATTTTCTGAGGGCAGAGGTCCATTTCAAGATGACAAAAAATTAAAATTAAAATTTGGTTAAATTTGTGATCAGCAGCATCCCTTCACTTCAGGAAACTCCTACAGAACCGTTCCCTTGCATTCCACTTTGACCGAATCGTGCTTACCTGGACAAAGAGCTATATTTGTTCGCTCAAGAGGCATTTTGTGGTCCTCGAAAACAGATGTCTGATCACTAATTCTCACGCTGCTGTAATCTGTTGAAAGGAGAAATAAGTGACGGCTGAGACGTGACTTTTGACAAAATTTATACGTTAACAACACGCTTGACATAAAGCCTGTCGCTTTGGAAATGCGCCGTAGTTCCGCGTGGGACAAGGAAAAAGTACTGCGCATTTAATAAAGACTGAGTAGCACCCAAAAATTTCAAGAGATGAAAAAACGTCTTAGTAATCCCATACACTTGGGTTCACAATTTAATAACAAATTATAATTTGCCGTACCCAATTTTTACTCCACTTTTTTCTCAATCGAGGTGCATAGTGTAGGCAAAAGATCGTGCTAGAAACCGACTTCACCGGCAATATCCGTCACGCCCTACCTTCTATGACAAGCAATGTCCGAGTTTCCCAATACCTTAACCTTCCGGGAAGATTACTGCAGTTCATTTTGTTGCATTTGCAGTGATTGGAAACCTTTTTCAGAACTCCAATGTAATTATAAATGTTTTGGCAGATGGGGCCCCTGTGTAAAAAAAATCACGAAGATCATTTTAATTGACATTCAAAACAAGCTTCGGTAACTCTTCATGATCGAAGCGGCATTCTTTTATTGCCCCGAAGTCTACTATTCCGCCGTAAAATTCAACGAAGCTGCAATGACTACGTCAATTGTATAAACACACAGAGATTCCAAACTGTGGCAGCACTTTAGGCCATAACGTTATAGCGTTGTGAGCTGAGACAAAAAGCGCAAGGGGTGCAGTCTGTTCATGATTCTCCGTTTCGGGAGATCGCAGAGCTGCATATGGAACACACAACGCTGCGTCGTTTCGGTTAAACAAGTCTGAAGCCGTTTTAATTCAGGTCCATTCCCTCTGAACCTCATCAGATGCTGTAATCTTAAGCTATAAATCATTCTAATGGTGGGATTGCTTAAGGTGCGAGCAATCTCTTCGGTCATTGAGCGTCACAGCCTCTCGTGCTAGTTGTTGCAGAGACCTGATAAACACAACATCGAAGCCAGGATGGGACGTTAAGATAATTCGAACTGGAAATGGTCGAACGCTGCGCCAACCGCGTTACATCACCGCCTGGGTGACCTGAGCCTGACCTCTCCAGGAATTGAAGAGCTTTTAAGCCGTTTTGAGCAAGATGATGAAGCTGTCATACGATCACCAGTACTTTAAGCGTTTGCCTTTCTCTCTCTCTCTCTCTCTCTCTCTCTCTCTCTCTCTCTCTCTCTCTCTCTTTCTCTCTTTCTCGACACATTGACTGGCAGCCGGGCCGGATCAGGTTTAAAAGTAGCGGCTTGCTTTCTACGGCACCGTTTAGCTTTTTTTGTCTACGGTGAAGGAACTTCAAGTTCTGTGAAAGGTTGCATTACCGCTAGTTTGGCACGAGAAAAGAACTACTTCAAACGTATCCGGCACTCTGAAATTTTTGCAATGTTTTTGCGCCATTATCAGGGATGCAATTTCGTAATACAATAAGATAGGACTGGGCGGGGAAAATGGATAAATCTCCGCTTCAAAAAAACACAAACACACACACAAACGGGCTGATCTTGGATTTAGCCCATTTTCCCCTTAGGGTTGAGGGGCTGTTCGCTGGAGCTCCCTCCCCCAGCTGGATAGAAAACTACACCCCGGTCCTCATCATTGCAACATTGCTGAGTACTGAATTTCTGTCGCAAGACTTTGTTCTGCTACTAGGTCAACGTCCGATAGACGGCTGCAGTGAGGCAGAGCTGTATCATCACGCTCAAAACATCGCTGAGTGCTCACTTGCTGCAAAGCTTTGCAGTGTGTATGACGAAGACCCCTCATACGATTGCTGGATGTGCAGCCACATTCTCGTCATTATTTTGTGAAGGAATGAAACCCAGTGCTACGCGGCTGGTGAGGCGCCAAGTATGCCAGCGCCACAGCGGCTTCAAGCGAAATGATGGAGGCAGTGTTTTCCAGGAAAATATGTTTCCCCGAACTGATCGTGACCCGGTTTGACCCCCGGAATGATGAACGTTTACACGTGCAACGCTATTTCGTTTACTTTTCGGCGACGAGAATGACTCCGCAACCAATCTCTGCTTGCCCGCAGTTCCCGGAGCAACAAGACCTCGACTGACCCGTCCAATTCCGAACACTGACAGGAGGCCGTGTGGTGCTGGATGTCCGGGTGGGGGCGGGGGGCCGCCGCCAGTCGTCAACGTCCGATGGAGGGGAGGGGGAGGGTGGGGGGAGGGCGCTTCCCGGTATCGTCGGCCTCGGCGGCCGGCACGGGCGGCGCCGTCGCGTCGGCCCGGCTCGCACGTGGCAGTCACGCGGTGATAGTGGGAAGGGCTGGGCGCCGCCGCCGAGCCCGGCCTGAAGGCGCTGCTGAGGACGCGTCCGACTGAAGATATCGGGCTTTTGAATTGAAGGCGGCGATGGCGGCGACAACGCGACAGCCCTGAGGCTCACCCCAAGGTCAGACGAAGGTCGCTCGCGGGCTGGGCTCTCAATCCGGGGAAATGATGTGCGCTGTTTGCCGAATAGACTCGCTTTACCCGGACACAAGCAATGACTTATTAATCGCGGAAAAACGGCTGTATTGGCCACGCGAATTCTCCTGTCGTCGCATTGTTGTGCCTTACATTATTTTGTTGTGCGAGGTTGTCTCGTCATAATGTCGATTATCGGTTCATAAAGCTTGGACGCCCTGCGGGTCAAGCTTGAAGCTCAGTGAGGCCTTTCCACGTTATCGTTAATCAGGCGCTTAAATGGAGAGGAAATTTATGAAAAAATAAGTTAAATGGGAGATACCAAAAACATTTTCTAATGCCATTTTCCTTATAACGATCAGGAAATTGCCGAACTGATAGAAGTTTTGGCCAACAAATCCAGTGCACCGGAAATATTGCCACTCTTCGACCGCAACGTTATGTGCTTAAACGCCGTAATAACGAAAGCACCAACAGGTACCCATCTCGCACAGGATCCTTTTGCAAAATGTTGCAGGGTTCCTATAGCATGGAGAGGAAACCACTTGGATAAGAAGGACAATAGGACAATAGGACAAGAAGGACAATAGGACAAAAGAAGGACAATATCTGGATCAGGAGAATATGCCGTGACTCTACCCACTGAAATGAACGACATTTTGAAAGCCCCCGTCTCTTATTAGGCTGTGGTACCCTGACCATCCGGCATGTTGATTCGAAGGGAGAGATAAGTCGTTACCTACACGGCGCAGAAAACGCGGACATCACTGAATCGTGTGTACGTCATCAAGCGTGCTTAGATTTAGCTGACTTGTGGGTTTGGTGTCGTCCTTGAAGTCAAAACAGATACATGCAAGGGAGACTTGCTGCAATTGCCCCTACTTGCTGTTCCATACTGCTTGACCCTATGTGTTTCTCAATGTGACGACGACGATGACGTCAACGAATTTTGATCACAAACCTCCAGTGATCAGGTGTGCAAATCGCATTGAGCTAGTACTGCGTACAGGTGAGCTTCGTTTTGGCAAAATGGGCCAGCACAAGAGCTGCTGTGCTGTGGCCTATAGTGCTGGTCATCTGCTAATAGCGTGTGTGCGTCGATGTGTATGGCTCTGGATGCCTTCCATCAAGTAAAGAAACTTCCAGCAGAAGTTTTCGTGACAGAAAAAAACATCCACGTGATCAGGCTATGGGGAACGACAGGGCTGTACCGAGGGGGCTTATTTGAAGCGAATTTATCATTCCTACGACGGGAAGCTATCCAAATTTTTCTCTGTGCCGCTCTCATCAGGCCTCGATCACTAAAAAATTGTCAAATAAACAGAAGCCTTTTTGCTTTGGCACCCGTCAAAAAGCTTCAATCACCAGAAAAGTGCCCCAAAAATAAAGAGGCCTTTTTGTTCGGGCATTCGTCTGGCATTTGGGCGGCCTAACAATTTTATGAAGCCCCACGCACGGCTGTAACGCTATGATCTACGACGGTAGTGGCACTCATAATGGCGCTGCCGCGTTTTCATACCCCCAGGGTACATTCTAGGAGGCCGACGGTGCGGAACTGCGGTGCAGTTCAGTGCGGAACTCGTGCAGCGCAGATGTTTTTGAACATGATATTGCAATGTACATGTTAACTATTCGTGTCCGAGATTGCCGATAATATTTCGTTTGGCGGACGATACTGCAGCGAGCATCCCTCAATGCAAAAATGTTGAGGCCGCTCTCACATTCACGACAGCTCGCCTGAGCGTTACCACACATAACACATCGTATTTTCCACCCACGGTGGGAGTCGAACCCGCGTCCTTCAGGTCCCAAGCCGAGCATCATCACCACGCGCACCGCCCGGCCACTCAGCGCCCCTCCCGCCGCCGTTTTCAGAGCGTGAGCGGCCGCCCGACCCGCAGACGTCGGCGGCCGACCCGATGAGAGCCGGTCAGGGGTCAGAGGTCAGCCGATGACCGGGCCGCTGCCCCCTGGCGGCGCGGCGAGCCCCCCAAGCGGCCATGGCGCGGTCCCAGCACGACGAGGACACCCCGCTGGTTTCCGTCACCACCGCCATCGGCATGGACCAGGCGAGTGATTTACAACGCGCTAGTTTCGGCGAGGAGACTAAGCACAGCTGACTGCGGGTGCTAAGGTCACGGCCTCGCCAGGTCATCGGGCAGGCATTTCACACCTCCACGGCTTTGACAGCTCTCGGAGCAGGTGATGGACAGTCGTGACGTATCATTAGTACTAATCTTCTCGTCGCATGGCCAGCTTATGAACATGGATGGCGAATGAAAGATAAAGTTCAAATGCGAGCCGATGGAAGCTGTGTATGTGGACAGAAACATTGAAAATGGTTTCATAAAAGCCGTTGGCAATGCACGTTGGCATGCGATTCGTGCGATTGCGTACGCAAGTCAACTTACCATATAAAACAAGCACATGTGTATAATTCTCTCGTACTGGTACCTCAACTTCAGGAGGTGAACCTGAAAAAATTGCGCGCAGTTTCACGCCAAGAAAGCCGTAACACTTGTTCCTGACACATGAAACCTCCCATGACCTCTCGTATTCTTTTTCCACCATTCGCTGTCCAAGTAGCAACACCCATGCAAATTTTTGGCCTCAGCGTGAGTTCGGCGCCAGTCATCGCGGGCACTCCGGTCGGAGGTGTCACTTTCTTAAATCGGTTGGGGCGGGCGGAGCTGAGCCAATATGCTTGGCCTAACTGACCTGAAATCCTGATTTCTTTCCGGGCTTCCGCCACCCTCATTTGCGTCCCTGATGCCAAAAGTTTTATGTGTTTTGACAGTTTTATGTGTTTTGACCACATTCTTATGATTTACTGCTGATAACGTAATGTTAATGAATGGATGTGATGTAATGTTACAATGTCGGCCGGTGGCGTGCGTTCCGCGGTATCGCTGGTTGCCGCCCGCTGCCCGTGCCAGCCGTAGATCGCCGTGCAATGTTCCTCAAAAACCGCCGCTGCTCCGTCACGTTTATTTAGGGCAAGCCCTCCGGAGGTTGCCGGCATGTTCGCGAACGTGCCAGCAACCGGCACGGCTGGCAACGACGACCAGAAATCTACAAGTCTGCGGGAGGTATTTCAGGTTGGATCTGGTTTCAAGGACAGGTGCTCACCAGGATGCGCTTGTCGGGCGGGAGCGACGAAGGCCGGCACCGTGCATCATAAAACAGAACAGCACCATGCAAAACAGACCAGCACCATGCAAAACGGAGCAACACCATGCAAAACAGCACAGCACCATACAAAACAGAACAGCTTTATGCAAAATAGTGCAGCACCATGCTGAACAGAGTAGCACCATGCAAAATAGTGCAGCATCTTGCAAAACAGAGCAGCGCCACGCAAAGTAGTGCCGCACCATGCAAAACAGAACAGCACCATGCAAACCAGTACAGCACCATGCACCATGCAAGTGATGCACAGCGCGTACGGTGCACTTGTTTGAATGTAACGATCCGGAGTTCCTCGCGAATGCACCGAATAACGTACGAACAGCCTCAATCATTAGATTGCACGTCAAACATAAAATGACAATCAAAAACACTTTACGTCCAGTTTTCTTGGGGCAAATGAAATACTAAGAACGACGATCACAGCGAAGATACCCGCTATCTGGAAGTCATTTCAAATAACGACTAAAATTTGCAGCCAGATAGCGTAATAAAATTAACTTTACGGAAATGCATGGAAAGTCGTTAATGCATAACAGATGAAACGCCAACTATTTCTCTAAAATACCGGATTACGTTAAACCATTACGACAGATGTAAACACGTAACTTGTTCAAGAAAAGTTGTCCTTATCATACATACAAAAGTGGATCAAGTCGGTTACGTTCCAGGGGGGGGGGGGGGGGGGGGCGGTGTCAGATGGGCTAGTCCATGCCTGAGGCAGGCTGTTTCCCGAATGTTTATATTCCGCTGTGGTTTGGTGCAGGGTAGATAATTTGAAAAGGCCTGTACGAGACGTCTAACCTGTTCGACGCACCGATAAATTGTGGTGCTGATCCATAGATGTGCATCAGAGCAGTCTTATCATCGTTTCTCAGTCGGTGATGCGGGTGGCGGCTGTCACTGACGGGCAGCCGGTCCAGGGCGGGTGGCGGCTGTCACTGACGGGCAGCCGGTCCAGGGTGGGTGGCGACTGCCACTGACGGGCAGCCGGTCCAGGGCGGGTGGCGGCTGTCACTGACGGGCAGCCGGTCCAGGGTGGGTGGCGACTGTCACTGACGGGCAGGGCAGCCGGTCCAGCTCGTTGGCGGCTAACGCGGGGCCGGTGCAGACTCAGACAATTGGTTTCCAAAAGAAGGGCCTAAATTTCGCGGCTTAAATTTTACATGACTGACTCCGGTTTGATGGATTTTTTCGCATTGCTTTCGGCAGACCGTATTTGAAGTTTCCAAATCCGTTCCGTCTTAAATGCTGTGACTAAAGTTCATCTCTTAAACATAGGTCGGCGGAATCCAGGCCTATGAACATTTTTTAGATTTGGGAATTGACTCGTGTTCAAAATTCTGATCAGTATGTGCTCGTGCTTTGTTAAATAGACAAGCGTGACGACTGATGCATCCCAAGGACCGAAATGCCTCCCACTCTCATGTAATTTTGCCCTAGATAACTGGGTATTGTTGTCTGCAGGATGCTATATATGAGTCGGGTAGGCAAGATTGTGCATCAGCCCAAAACACGTGCATGTGCATGCGTTTGCTATCTCAACAGGACATTCACTATCTCCAAAAATCTATGATGTTGGGTTAAAAGCGGACAGACCTCCACCGCCCATCCCACCCCTCTGGTCGCTCGGGCTGACTTCTATGGAGACGTTCCTTAGTATGCCATGAACCCTGACCCCTCTCTTTGAAACTTTCCTATGCCTGAGTTTCATTGGCCCAGTATTCCTTTTTTGTTCATATGCATTGGGAGGGGGTCCCTGAAGAGTATAGAGGGCGGGGTCTTAAGTCAGGATTGAGAGCTTAGCCCCCCCCCTCCCCCACGGAGGCATACAATGTGACACCCCTGACTCCAATGCAGAGGCGATTCCAACAGAGGGCCGAAATCACAATTCTTTAGGTCACGATGTGATCTGGCATTACGGTGCTGTGATGTCTTTCATGCATTCGATTTCTTACCGTCCTGGCTGTCCGAGTGATTCTGATGATCCTGCTCGTAATCCGTGGACATCACAAGGCTCAGCTAATTCATCGGTAATCGGCCGAGCAATGGGACTAAATACATCCGGGGGTCCAAAGAGTAAAGCAGCAATTCATCGGATCTGACTAAATCGGAACCTAAAGAGCCAGGGCAAAAGACGAGAGAGAGAGAGAGAGAGAGAGAGAGAGAGAGAGAGAGAGAGAGAGAGAGAGAGAGAGGAGAGAGAGAGAGAGAGAGAGAGAGAGGAGAGAGAGAGAGAGAGGGAGAGAGAGAGAAAGAGAGAGAGAGAGAGAGAGAGGGAGGGAGGGAGAGAGAAAGAGAGAGAGCTCATCGCTTCCGGGCTGAATCCTTTGCACCCCCTCGCGCGTTAGACCTCCCCCCCAGCTGTGATCCGGCGTCGCACCCATCCGGCGGCCACTGATGCGGCGACGGCCGCTGCGACGGCCTTTGATCGCCGTCAATCTCACAGATCACGGTCGGCGGAGCGGCGACTGGCTCATTTCCTTCGGAAGCCCGCACGCAACTGCGACTCCGTTTGGAGCGGTCCGCCGCGCGCCGCGATGGTCGCCCCGATCGTGGAACAGGCGGCCGGAATGCCGCCATTGATTTCAGGCCGGCGCCGGGGTGGTCGGGGCGCGGGGCGAGGTTCCCAGGCGGCACGAAGGGGTGCCGCTGCGGGCGTGGCGTGCCGGCGGAGGCTCCATCACGAACGCGGCCGGTAGGCGGGGCTGAGCGGCGGCGCGCGAGGCAGGTGTGGTGTCTGAAGGCGGGCGGAGAAAGAGAAGAGGTGGAATGGTGGCGTGTTCTGTTGGATAGTAAGGGTGAAGAAACAAGTTATTTTCTCAAATTGGGGCACGTTTTACAGACATCGTTTCTCTTTTCATTTTGCACATAAGTAATCTACCACTGCTTACCCCTGATATAACGTGTCTATCATTCATGCGCAGACAACACCGCTTTCAAATTCAAATACGAAAGATGACTGAGCTTCGGGAACAAGTGAACTCATCATTTAGGCACATCGCCGAATGGTTCGGAGCCAACTTTTTATGTACTGATGCTGCAAGAGTTATAGACAAAATTATACAAGGAGGGCATCCAATATAAAAATTGAAGTGAGGATAAACAATGTGCCGATCGAGGAAACAGACGAGATAGCGATCTGGGAGTTATTGCCGACATTATACAAAAACATTGTACAATAACACGCTCAACTTCACGAATCGTGTCAACTATATTTGCTGCATCATCAGCCGGCATATAGAAGTAGTTAGAAGAATTAGGTATTTCATTGACAGAACTATAGCTTACACTTAATTAAGGCGTGGATTATGAGCTAAAGCCTCAACTCCAAATGCAGCATGACCGGAAATCACGGTGCCAATACATTGGCTGATTGTCCAAAATGATACACCACGCCAATTTTTTGCTGGTTTTAGTCATAAGTCTCGGTCAGTTTTGGTTTGGGTCATGACCTTGACGCCCCAACATCTCCATACCGCACTGCATCACGCAAACTAACGGTGCGGGCCCGTCCGGACACCAGCCGGACGGAAAGCCGACATGGATCCACGCGGCAGCACTTTCGCCCAGCTCCAGGACGCGTGTTTTCAGGGCGGCTTTTCTACCGCGACCCAGCCGGCGACATTCGCTATCTAGAGGCAGGCACCGAAAGAAATCTGCATAATTCAGGCCTGGGTCCCGGCACTAAATTGGGTGCACACATCCATCATGAAAAGCCGACGCCAGCGCAGGCAATCTCCCAGCGGGTGTCCCTGCGTCCCGACCTGAACCCAGGCACACCCTGTAATCACGTCAGCCGGGGGACGTTGCAATCAGCGGGGCGAAACCCTGAAACCGCGTCGTTTATGACGGCCGTGGTCACGTTTCATAGAGCTGAGCG